GTCTGTGGTGACGATAGTGGTGTCACTCGATGCCACGTGACAGCAATTTTGGTGGGTAAAGTGCGGTAGTGGCTTGAGTGTCGTGATGTTACTTCTGCTTTTTGGTTTAATCGGAAACCAAAAAAAAGATTAGATAGTCTGAAATATATTGAGAGCTGATTTTCGGATTTGTTTTATTAGAACATTTTAAGCACACCCCTAACATCTACGTAGAAAAATATGTATTAGTTTTATTCATAGCAATTTGTTAATCCACCGCTTTATTTGTCATGGTGGTCATAACGCTGGTGAGTACTGCCTCACCATATCGGGCATTGCAGTGATAATACGCTGTGTAACATTTTTATTTTGTTCCTGGGTAGCAAGTGTTATTTCCTAATTGCTTATACCTCAAAAGTAGAGAAACTGGCTATTATTTCCCACAAACTTTGCTTTTGTGACCAGGACAGTGATATTTTGAAATTTACTACTGTAATGTCTGTGTGTCCCGCGCGTGACGTCACTCCACGTCGACCAGCCCCCCTCATTAATAATCATGAACAGGTGACATCCTCCAAATGGACACCCCCCCACCATTAATAATAATTAGCGGGTGACGTCATTCCACATGGGGGGGGGCGAGGCGCCTCCTCCCCCCTCCTCAGCGTCAACTTACAACCCTCACTACAAAGGCAGAAGCCTCACATCACACGGTCTGCGTAACGCTCTTGAGACAGAAGTAAAAAAAGTTAAAAGGACGTCATGATGAACAAGGGATTATAACCTTTAAATTAAATAAGTCTGTGTCACCGCAGCCTTACAAATATGCACGCGAATGGATGCAATGAATATCACGTCGCGCTCTGCTTTTCGCTTGCAAGTTTCAGATTTACTGCAATACACCCGTCCTCGGACGGGCAAAAGGCTGGTTTTCCAGAACATTCCAGATAGATTCAGTGCTGAGTCAACTTGGAGTAACTTCTAGTGCATTCTAGAACTTTCCAGTAATATAAATAGTATAAATACAGGTGCCTGAAGCCCACCAGTTCAGTTTAGTTCCAGCTGCCTAAGTGGATACATATCTACATTTTTCTGAGATGGCATCAAGAGGCTGCAAGCATCCGGCAGACGCATTTTGCTGTCTGCGGCCAATTTATCAAGACTAGCGAAAAAGTACTCTGTAGAAGCATCTGCTAAGATGTGTGAGGCCTACAAGGCATATTTCGGCATGCCTGTTGGGGATCAAGACAAACCCTGGGCACCTCATTTCACCTGCGAGCAATGCAAAATAACTCTGGAAGGCAAGATGGACAAGTGTTGCTTAGAATTTTATGTAAAAAAATAAAAATTGTTAAAGTTTTTAATTTTACAATATTTGACAATTATTATTCTTTGTTTTTTTCGGTGAAGTCACGTAGATGGAAAATAAAAAAATAAAAAATAAATTCATAAAAATTAAAAACTCTCAACGTTTCAATCGCAACACAAGCGGTCGTCATCAGGCGGAGAGAAAAGGGGGAGGGGGCGCAAGCCTCCAACTGCAATTGTTTATAAAGGCTTGAAATGGGCGCAGGCGAGCCAAAGCTGTGAGTGGGCGAGGCGCCAGAGCCGTGGAGCCAGCGCTGAGCGGCGAGCGGCGCAGTCCAAGTGTGTCAGCAGCATGGGCGGGGCAGCCAATGCTAATGCAGGAGAAGACAAAGGGGGATAGAGAGGGGGCAGAGATAGGTGGAGAGACAGGGGGGGGAGAGACAGGGGGGAGAGAGAGGGGGAGAGAATGGGGGGCAGAGATAGGTGGAGAGACAGGGGGAGAGACAGGGGGGAGAGAATGGGGGGCAGAGATAGGTGGAGAGACAGGGGGAGAGACGGGGGAGAGAATGGGGGGCAGAGATAGGGGAGAGAGAGGGGGAGAGAGAAGGGGGGTAGAGATGGGGAGAGAGAGGGGAGGGTCGAAATGGTGGGGGGGGGGGAAGGGGTAGAGATAGGGAGAGAGAGAGGGGGGAGAGGTAGAGGGAGAGAGGGGGTAGAGATAGGGGGGAGAGAGAGGGGGGAGAGATGGGGGGCATTGCACCACATCCACACTGCTGACGGTGGAGGTTGACAAGAAATTTAAAATAAAGTCATGACCCAACGTGGTTGATGACATCTTTCCAATTTTCAATGTTATTGAAAAAAAAAACAAATATGAAAAATGTTGATGTTGCGAGAATCTCTTACATATTAGTCATGGGTGAAATACATTTATTTTTTTAGGATGGCACAGAGGGGAAAAGAGAGCCATGAAGTTTGCTATACCAAGAATTTGGCAGGAACCCACTGACCACTCAAGCAACTGCTACATCTGCATGGTGGACCCTTCCAAACGTCGACCTGGCAAGAATGCACCTGCTATCATGTATCCGGACCTTCCTTCATCCATCGCCCCGGTGCCACACTGCCATGAGCTCCTCGTACCCACTCCTCCGGAGAGAGAGCAGCCGTCTTTCGAAGAGAGCAGCAAGTCAGAGAGCCAGGAAGACGTTGTAGATCCAGATGACAATTTCAGAGGTGGAGCTGAGGAGAGAAACCCATACTACCCCAACTAAAAAGACCTCAACGACTTGATCAGAGATCTTGGTCTGACCAAGTCCAATGCCAAGCTTTTGACGTCTAGACTCAAGCAGTGGAACTTGTTGGATGAAAGTGTGCAAGTCGCAGATCAGAGAAAGCGTCACCAACGTTTTTGAAGCTTCTTCACCCGTCAAGATGGGCTCTGCTTCTGCCACAATGTGACCAGTCTGTTCGAGGAAATCAGAATCGCCGGTAACCAGAATGAGTGGCGCCTCTTCATTGACAGCTCATCCAGGAGCCTCAAAGTTGTGCTGCTCCATAATGGTAACAAGTACCCGTCTCTTCCCCTGGCTCACTCGGTGCACTTCAAAGAGGATTACAACAGCATCAAGACCTTGCTGGATGCCTTGAAGTATGATGAGTACGGCTGGGAGGTCATTGGAGACTTCAAAATGGTGGCATTTCTGATGGGTTTCCAAGGCGGTTTTACCAAGTTTCCCTGCCATCTTTGCCTTTGGGACAGCAGGGACACCAAGACGCACTACCACAGGCGGGACTGGCCACAGCGGACTGAGTTCTCTGTGGGGACGAACAACGTAAAAGAGGGAGCCACTGGTGGACCCCCGGAAGGTGCTGATGCCACCACTGCACATCAAATTGGGCCTTATGAAACAATTTGTCAGAGCTGTAGATAAGGAGTCGGCAACTGTCTGAGGCAAAGGTCAAAGCCGGTGTCTTCGTCGGACCACAGATAAAGAAGATCTTGGAGTGCAATGAATTCCCCAAGAAGCTCACTAGTAAGGAGAAGCGGCTTGGGACAGCTTTGTCACAGTGGTTCGTGGCTTCCTAGGCAATCACAAGATTGAGACTCTGGTGAAGAACTCTGGCACAATGGGCTGTAGGATGTCCCTCAAAGTTCATATCCTTGATGCTCATCTTGATAAATTCAAGGAGAACATGGGAGCATACTCGGAGGAGCAAGATGAGCGCTTTCACCAGGATATACTGGACTTTGAACGCCGCTACCAAGGGCAGTATAACGAGAACATGATGGGAGACTACATTTGGGGGCTGATTAGTGAAAGTTATTTACAGTATAATCGTAAATCGAGAAAAACTACTCACTGCTAAATCTTTTGTAGTCATTTTTGTTTTACTTTAGTATAAATAGATGATAATTTTGATTCATATGAAGTTTTTTTCTGACTTAATGTGAACGAAAATACACAAATTCGCCCGTTTTCTCATTGAATATAGGTACATTTCAGAATATCACTGTCCTGGTCACAAAAGCAAAGATTGGTGGGAATAATAGCCATCTTATATACTTTTTAGGTATAAGCAATTACAAAATAACACTTACTCCCCAGGAACAAAATTTGTGTTGCATAGCATTATGTTTCAACTAAATAAAAAACTAATAAATCAAACTCGGGTTGGATCGTTTAATTTGTGGTTACACTCCTGTGGACAAAAGGTCCCATTGCTGGATTCGTCTTCAGTTGAATAAATCGTTATCCTTCTATTCAAATGTTAATCCATATATAAAGTATTGCATAAATCATCTCGGTTACAGTTCACAAAGTAAACTCCTCTGTTGATTCACAGATGAGCAATTGAAAACCGCAAAAGCAATTTTGATAGACGTTTTATATTATATGTACATGCACATTTTATTGGTTCTTTCGGTAAAGTCACGTAGAATAATAAAACATGATCAGTGAGAATTTTATTTTATTATGTTTTATTTGTATTATTTTATTATTTCCCTTCTATGTGACTTTACCGAAAGAAGCAAGAAGATGAATCCCTGCAGTCACGAAAGCTTTAAATCGAAATTTACATGCACATTATTTAGAATCGCGCTCGTTTTGCACTTTTTGAATCTGTGTGTGGATGTTGGCATTCTTAGTCAAATGCAAAACAAAAATAAGCACGCCACTTTTAGGAATGGTATGTTGACCCCATACACACATATAAAGACACACAGACATACATATACTCATTATGTATTTGAAATGCATCTATCGCCTGGCAAAGCATGGCCCTGAGAGTCCAGTGGTGACCTCAAATGACTCTGAAAAGGGCCTTGTAGTTCTGGAATGTATAAAAAATGAGTTGTACTCAGTAAATAATATATTTTGTGAGAGCAGAGGTTTCTTAAAGTGTAGCTCCATGCTGTATTTTAATGAGTTGTGTTTACTGCGGGGGGGAGGGGGGGTGGTGGTGCAGTGGTTACCGCACTACGTGATGAATACTAGCGACCTGATTTCAGCTCTTGGCCATGACAGCCAGTTAACTCTTAACCGCTTCCCCCCTCAACTCTTCCCAACAACCCGCCCTAACCAGTGTGGTGAAGTATGGTCAAACTACTCCAATAACCCACATGGCAGGTAGGAGACATTCACCCGGCAATGGAGCGACAGTGGGCTGTAATTTATCAACGTTAATTATTACTTTTCTACTTCTTTCAGATTCTTACAAAGCTCGTCAAAGGAATTTCAAAGCCTGTGACGTGCAAGATAAGAATCCTGCCTTCGGTAAGTCTGCCAGACATCCCCAGAAGATTACCACGTTGGAGAAAATGTCACTTGTATGTCAAGAGTGGTTAATAGTAAGGCAAAGGTGCAGCCCTGCGATTTGCTCGCTCACGCCACTGCTGGCAGAAGGGGCTCCACTCCAGGGAGCTCTAAGAGAGCCCCTCCACAGGGTATTTGGCCTACTTTTCCACACTGGCCAGAGTGGGTATACCCACGCTCTACCCCACCACACATCACCTGATTTGAGAGCCAGTGACCTCTGGCTTGCAACCCCGTTGCGCTAACCATCACACCGATGGCGGCATCCCCCACGCCACGGACGATTGAACGAGCAGATTGGCCCGGCGATGAAAACAACGGCAGTGACACAGTGCGATTATCAGTCACGCAGGGCAATTGTCAATCATCTTTGCACCGTGTTAAATGGGGACTTGTTACGGCTGTGCATTTTTTGCGATCCAGTAAAAAAAAAAATACACAGCGGCAAAAGTGATGTTGGTCGCCGTGAGACAAATGTGAAGTTGGACGGTTGTATCAAGCCACAGTGCGTTTTGTGCCATCAACAAACGCATGAAAAAGCACACAATAGGAATGATTGCACTTTTGTAAAATAATGAAAAGGACAAAGCATTATCATTTGCTCATTGATGGGCCCTTGCCCGCGAGTTTTAGTCGTCACCGAAAATGTACAAAACCGTGGCGTGCTTTTCAAAACGGATGAAAAGTCGGCATGCAATTTTGACGTGATTTTCTTATTATTTTCCCCCGGATAAATCAACAGAATTCACTGACATTGTATTGTTAGTATTTATTATAATTGCACCGTATTGCAATTCAAGACGTAACCTTTTTTTTTTCCCGGTAGAGTGCAATGCGCTGAACAGGCAACGAAATAATGAATGCGGCATGCGCTCAATCGGCGGCGGTGAGAGGTTCGTCATAATTGCTTCGGCTCACCTCCGTGATGGGAGTTGGTCAAGAAAAGAAACCCCATTAAATGCCTTCACTGATTTGCATTCAAAATCTTGCGTGTTATATCATCTTTATATTCTTGGTTCTTTCGGTAAAGTCACGTTGAAGGGAAACAATAAAATAATAAAATATATATAAAACAATAAAAATTCTCACGGCGTTTCGACCGTAACGCAAACGGTCATCATCAGGTGCCGTTGTTTTTTTCACACCTGATGATAACTGTTTGTGTTACAGTCGAAACGTCGTGAGAATTTTATTGTTTTATATATATATTATTATTTTATTGTTTCCCTTCAACGTGACTTTACCGAAAGAACCAAGAATATGAATCACTGCAGTCACGAAAGTGTTAAATCAAAATTTGTTATATCGTCATCGTCGTAGTCAGCCATGCTTTATCTTTACCGACCACTGGACAAAGGACTTGCCAAGCTGCCCTATTCCCCATACGATTCACATGTTGCTCTATTAATATTCAGCATTGATTCATGAACAAGGCACCGTTACTCCTCATAGTTTAAAAAAAAATCTTGACAATTTGTTGGTAACACCGTTGTTGGATGGGGGGGTACGCGAGACGATTTCACGTCAATGACGGCGGTGGTCAACGCCGGGTTACCAAAGCAGTGCCGAGCTACTGTGCGTGCGCACTGCTTATTATAAACGCTCCACGCTTGTCTTTTGTGCGCAATTTTGGCGAACCCGCTCCTCATCCGCTTGCGCTCTTGTCAGTGTCCATAAACAAAAAATGCGGACAGCCGTCCGGCATCTTGCCGTGCGCTTGCCATAGATCTGTTGTTCACGGATGCTTCGGGATGCTGTCGAGTGGTTGCGCTAGTGGAAGCATGCACATCTCGTACTCTACCACTGTATACTAGGCCCCACTCGTTCTCTACAATCAACTTAGAATTATCTAAACTCACGGGTGAGTATCTCCGTAAAATCTCACACTTAAACATTTGCGCATTGGTGACGAAAGGCATTGAGAATGTCGGGCAACATTTTTTATCCTAAAAGTATTGCTTTTTAAACAAAGTGAATCACAGGCCTATGGATCACAATTCCAATTCAAAGCAACCCTAAAAAATAATCCCTTGTTTTCTCTCACTCACGTAATGCAATCTAACACCTTGGATGCATTGTTGCATTGCCGACACATCGTCAGATGTCTTGGATGACGGTTGTAGTCCAAAAGTTAAGCCCTTATAAATACCCATAGTATTAACCATGCCGAACGCACATGTGTGCAGTGTGTCACGCTCGGTGTGTGACGAATGCCGTAGAGAATGTCGTGTTCCTCAAATGCCACCGTGAAGGCCCTCTCCAAGCCGTTGGCCACAGCTCACTTTGTCACAATGCAACAACCCGCACGGCTCCAACAAACCACAAGCTGATATATTAATTTCACCATCCAAAGTGGCTGTCAGTGGCAATTATTTTCTTTGCCAGTGTCTTATAGTTTAGAAGTGTATGTCACTGTAGCCGGTGATCTACACTGTTTGAAAACATCCTTATTTGGGCACATTGGTGTGTTACTTTTGATTGTAACGGTCAGATTTCCAAATGCATGGTATCTTTTATCTTAACGGAATTTATAAAGCACCTTACTTAACCAAGGCGCTTTACAAAGAATTAAGAAGGGTACAACGTGTGAATGTAATGGTGGAGATGAGGTGAATGAAATAGACGAGAGGAAGCAATGGGGGGCGAATCTGTGATGCGTGAATTTGGTGAAAGCAAAATGGATGACAGTAGATTACGATGATGAATGGATTGAATGAATGTGGAATGAGTGATAGCCATGGAATGAGAACATGAAGAGGGAACAGTAACGGTGGTGGTTATGATGGGGGAGATTCAGGGGTCGTGGAGTGATCATGGGGCACAATGAAGTGAGATTTGAGCGAGGAGCTGGAACGAGTGAGCGAAGGTGACTGCTTAGTGTGGAGGAGGGGAAGTTCGTTCCAATGAAGGGAGGGGGGGGGGAGCAAGAAGAGGAAAATATAAGAACGCGTTTCTTTTTAACTCTGTAGCCCATCTTTTGAAAAGGGTTGAGGCTCAACCCCAGCCATCGCTGATGCTTATGCGTCGCAGGCTGAGCATATTTAGTACTTTAATTCCCTTGCGTCATCTTCCAGAGACGGTGGGGCCGAATGAGGTCTCTCAATCTGTCCCAGTTCTTGGACCAGCACCACTGCTTCCTTGACTCGTCACCCTTTCTGATCAAGATTATTCCTCACCGAGTCAATCCAGCCCACCTTTGCCCCTCTGTTTAATTATCATTCTGTGCGCCGGTGTGTGTGTGGTTGTGTGTATGTGTTAATCTGTGTGTGTTAATGGCTGCTTTGGGTACGCGGTCCAGATCTCCCCAGAGACCCTGGCTGACAGAGGAGGTGTTCAGGATGGCTGAGAAAAAGCGACAGGCCCACTCTAATCGTCTATAGCATCCCACGTCAGAGAATGAGGAGGCTTACCGCAGCCTTTGCTCGGAGGTTCGAAGAGCCGTGAGGCGCTGCAAGGATGGGTGGTGGTCGCGGGTTGCTGATGAGATGGAGTCTGCCTCAGTGGCCCGCGATCACAAATCGCTATTTAACTCCATCAAAAAGTAACCTGCAGCGCCACACCTATTACCATCATTGGGGGAAAAAATGGTGATCCAATCTCCGACCCCCAGGAACAGGTTTGTAGATTTGCTGAGCATTTCTGTGAAGTCCTGGGGGAGGGGAAATCCCTCAGCCAGGAAAACATCATGGCACAAAGTAGGGATGACCCTGCTGAGGCTGCGGTGCCTCAAATATTGGAAGAAGAAGTCACCCCCTGTGAGTGGCTGGTTGAGGTGCCATCAGTTGAGGAAGTACTGAAGGCGATCCAGAGCCTGAGACTTGGAAAGGCACCGGACAGAGATGATCTCCCAAGCGAAATGCTGAGGGAGGGTGGCGTTTGTGCACAGACTGCCCTATATGACATCATAACAACCGTCTGGACCACTGGACGGGTTCTGCAGGATTGGAAGGATGCCCTGGTGGTTCCCCTCTTTAAGAAGGGGAACCGCACAGACTGTAACAACTACAGGGGCATCTCACTCCTCAGTGTGCCGGGAAAGGTCCTGGCAAGGATTATTCAACATTGCCTAGCTAGGTATGCTGAGGAGAGGCTTGCGGAGCCCCAATGCGGTTTCAGGAAAGGGCGGCCTTGCACAGATGCCATATTTTCTGTCTGTCTGCTACAGCAGAGGTGTAGGAAATTCCAACAAGACCCACATCTCTGCTTTATTGACCTGGTCAAGGCCTATGTCACCATCAGTAGGCCTGGGCTCTGGGTTGTTCTTCGTGCTTTCGGAGTCCCTGACCCTCTGCTCATGATCATTAAGGACCTCCATGATGGTGAGCGGGCCCGGGTAAAACTACATGGCCGGGAGTCAGAGCCATTCCCTGTACACCTTGGGGTGCGACAGGGATGTCCTCTGGCTCCCACATTATTTAACATCTATTTTGACCACGTAGTTCGTGAAGCCTTCAATAGCTGTACCGGGGGAATTTCCATTTGGTACAGATATAATGGGAGGCTGATCGATGCCCGGTTACGGTCAAGGGATGGCTCCCTATTGGTCAACCACGTTATGTATGCCGATGATTTGGTAATTGCTGCTCATTCAGAGGAGGAGTTAGATACGCTTTTGCTGAAACTGGAGTGTGCCACTAAGAGATGGGGCCTTACCATCAGCCCCACCAAAACTAAGCACCTGCCTGGGTATTTTGTACCATCGGACACTCCACCCCCACAACTCCCAATCGGTGATGGGGCAATTGTGGATAGAGTGGATAGTTTCCCATACCTGGGCAGTGTGCTCATAACCGGCTCCGGTTTGGCAGCGGAGGTCTCACTCCGAATCAGTCGAGCGGCAATATCTTGTCATCGGTTGTGTAGCGCTGTGTGGAAGCTGCCTGGTCTGTCGCGCCACACGAAGCTTCAGGTTTTCTCGGCCACAGTCATTCTCTCTCTTCTCTACGCTTGCGAAACGTGGA